GATCATCAATCATTCAGTATGCTTATACAGTACTATTTACCATGTGACATAAAGTTCTATTTCTTCTTGTTTTGTATATATCACATAACACATATGACATGTATCAACATTTCATAAATCAGAAAATGTTTTAAAGTCAATGTAAACATGTGACTATTTCAGAGTTTTTAAAAGGAACCTGAAGTAAGGGGTTAAGCTGTAATAGGGAGAATGCCATGACTCTAAATGCAGAAATAAGAATCAAGAATCATAGATTTCCATCTATGAAATATACGATAGATCAGAGGAATAAAATATTAGTCACTGATTGTGACATAGTCGTTTCCTTTTTTACCCCAGTACAGATCTGTAACATTTTTTTCTTGCTCTTTCTCCTTGGTATGTGTCATCTTCCTATTTACTTGTTTTCCCTGTATTGAACCTAATTCTTTCATACCATTATTCCTAACAAGCACTTCCTTTCCTATTTCGCTAGATTTGTCTTTACTTTTTCCATGCCTATCCCTACTAAGTGACCATTCTCTTTAAACAGAGCTTAGCTATTTATTGCTTATTAATTATTGTCTTTGTCCCTCCCCACTATTCCTTACCTACCCTTAACCTTTCCTCCACTCCAAACACACACACACATTCACATTAAACTGGAAGCTCCGTGTCTTATTCACTGCAATGATCCTGCAGAGAACAGTGCCTGATACATACTAAAGGCTCAGTATATATGTACTAAATGACTAAAATGAATGAACAGTATATCTTTATGTCAGATCAAATGTCTCTTCACTTCCATACCATCAATTTTGTTTGTACATCTCTTACCACATTTCATCCTATAATACAGTTCCTGGTCCAGGTGTGTTGGACAGCTGCCATTTTCTATATTCATGGCAAAACCCTTAAGATCACATTCATCATCAAATCTTCCAAAGACCTAGCATATTCCATTGCATATAGGAGGCACCCAGTAGGCTAACTACATTAATTAAAAATTCCTAGGGGAAAAAAACTCAAAAAGAGCTTCTAGATCTTCTGGATGCTAAAACAAGTTATTCCTAGATTGCAACTAAGAAAATTTCAAGTCTACTCTTTATCAGTTCAAGTTGTCCCTAGATTGCTAAGAGAGTTTCAAGTCTACTTATCATTTCATTATTACAAGGTAACTTTTAATGATATCAATCTACAATAATCTAGCTTGTTTATTCACACTGCAAGGCACTGACCACTGGGGATACAAAGGTGATTAAGATACTGCCCCTCCATGAGGAAGCTCACAGTCTAATGGGAGAGGGTGACACTGACATAATAAATGGAATGCAGTATAAAAGGTCCAATAGTTTAAACACGTATGATGAAGTGAAGGAATAGAGGAAGAGGTCAACTTTCCTGGGGAGATCAAAAAGGTCTCTTGAAAGGACTGAGTTGGGCTTTTTTTTTTTATTTTTCTGTATTTCATCTAATTTAATTTTTTGAGTAGTTAAGGCTTTCACATGGTTCGAAATTTGCAAAGAATAAAAAGATAATACAAACACAACGGTGAGGATGTAGAGCAATAGGAGCTCTCATTCATTGCTAGTAGGAATGCAAAATGGTCAGCCACTCCAAAAGATAGTTTGGTAGTTTCTTACAAAACATAACATACTCTTACCAAACCATCCAGCAATCATACTCCAGGGTATTTACCCAAATGAACTGAAAACTTACATTCACACAAAAACCTACACATGGATGTTTATAGAAGCTTTATTCATAATTGCCAAAACTTGGAAGCAACCAAGACATCCTTCAGTAAGTGAATGGATAAATAAACTGTGGTACATCCAACAATGGAATATTATTCCATGTTAAAAAGAAATGAGCTATCAAGTCATAAAAAGACATTAAAAAACCTTAAATGCTTAATACTGAGTGAAGGAAGCATATCTGAAAAGGATGCATACTGTATGATTCCAACCATATGACAGTCTGGAAAAGACAAACCCATGGAGACAGTAAAAAGATCAGTGGTTACTTGAGGTTAGGGGAGAAAAAGGGATAAACAGGCAGAGCAAGGAGGATTTTAGGGCAATGAAACTGTTCCATATGACACTATACCAATGGACACATGTCATTATGAGTTTGTCAAAACTCATAAAATGTACAACACCAAGACTGTACCCTAATGTCAAATATGGATTTTGGGCAATGATGATGTGTCAGCATAGATTCATCAGTTGTAATGAATGTACCATTCAGTTTGGGATTTTGATGCGGGAACCTGTAATGTGTGGGGCAGGAGGTATAAGGGTATAGGAGAACGCTATGTACTTTCCAATTAATTTTGCTGTAAATCTTTTTTTTGTTTGTTTTATTTGAGAGAGAGAGAGAGACAGATAGTGACAGAGATAGCAAGAGAGAGCACAAGCCGGGAGGAGAGGGCGAAGCAGGCTCCCCACTGAGGAGGGAGCCCAACGCGGGGCTTGATCCCAGGACCCTGGGATCATGACCTGAGCAGAAGGCAGACGCTCAACTGACTGAGCCACCCAGGCACCCCAATTTTGCTGTAAATCTAAAAGTTCTCTAAAAAATAAAGTCTATTTTAAAAAAAAGAAAAAGAAAATACAGTGAAAAGTATTGTTCTTGTCCTTGACACCTGGCTGCTCAAGTCTCCTCCCTATAGGCACCAAAGACTCTAGTTTCCTGAGTATATTTCCGGGGATTTTGAGGTCTATGCAAACTATCTGTACCGTGTATCATATCTACAGATATGATTTCCCTCCTTCTTCCTCAAATGTTAGTATATGACACATTCTGTTTTGCACCTTTTTTCACCTAATGATTTACCTTGGAGATTTTTCCATACTGGTGCATGGTTTATGTCTCTTACCAAAACATTTTGCCTAATATCTTGGCAACGACATTAAACAACAATTGTGGTGATAATGAATATCCTTATCTTGTTCCGAAGGAACCTGAATCTTAAAGGATAAATATGAATTAGAACTCTTTTGATTTTTTTCTTTTATTATTTTTTGTTTTTTGTTTTTAATTTTATTATGTTATGTTAATCACCATACATTACATCATTAGTTTTTCATAGAACTCTTTTGATTTTAATTAACAGAAACCTAAAGCATGTTTAAGCAAAATTGGGGGCATGTGTTATATTGAGAGATGGTGTCTCACAATTCAAGGGCAACAGAAACCATGAGAGTGCCCTCTATGTCCTGTGCTCCTCTTCATATGTCTGTTTCAGGGGCACCTGGGTGGCTCAGTCGTTAAGCATCTGCCTTTGGCTCAGGTCATGATCCCAGGGTTCTGGGATCAAGCCCCACATCGGGCTCTCTGCTTGGCAGGAAGCCTGCTTCTCCCTCTCCCACTCCCCCTGCCTGTGTTCCCTCTCTCGCTGTTTCTCTGTCAAATAAATAAAAAATCTTAAAAAAAAATGCATATGTCTGTTTCATTCTTTCTTCTTAGCTTTCTCAGCCACTCAGTCACATTGGAGGAAGAAGATGATTCACTCACAGTTGCTAATTTGCATGTTACAGATCAAACCGCAAAGTCATATTTTCCTTCAGTCCCAAAAGAAAGGATTCTGACAGTTCCATTCTGGTCCAAATAACTGTGATGACAAGAAAAGGGTCACATTACAAACCTCACTGCTGGGGACACAGGTAAGGAACAAGTTCTTAATGACATAATTTTGAGCAGGGCATTTACTCTAAAGGCAAGTCTACTACAGCATAGAAAAATGCACATGTAAAAATAAACATGTATTTCGGGAAGCTACAAAGCAGTTGGCTGTGATTTCTTAAAGCATATGAACTTCTTTAAGATCCTCTGCCATAGGTTGGTTTCTCTGGAAGCAGAGCCTGAGACAGGGATTGAGATGCGTATCAACTACTGAGGGAGTGCACAAGAAAAACTAGTCAGGGAGAGAGTTCAGCAGAGCTGGGAAGAAGAAAAAGTGAGAAAGAATGTAGTCTCAGGTAAAGTCCAGCTGCGGCCTGATCTACAAGAATCCTCTGCAGAATTTTCTCTCCTTCAGATGAGAAGGCAAGCCTTTTGTAGTCCCTTGGCCATCAGTTACTGATGGAGGTGCCCAGCTTTTTTGTCAAGGCAGCTCCCATGAGCAGAGGGCAATTCCTTGGAGAAGGAGCTGTAGCTATGAGCTTTCACCAGTCAACAATCACACTAGCTTTTGGGGAGACACTAAAACGACAGCAACCACACCCTATGGTAATAAACTTTCTACCAAACAGTGACAACATAAGGAGATATCATGATGTTGCAACACTTGAAAAATATGCAAAAAGAGTTAGCTCTGTCGTGAAATCCTCTGCCCTTTTTATGTTTTCCATTTTTTCACATTTCTTGTGGTTGGAACACAAGTTGGAAATTGGAACAATCAACCAAGAGGTTAACACTTACTGAGCACCTATCATGTGACTTACATTGTGCTAAGTGCTGCTAAGAATAAAAAGAAATGCAAAATGAGGATTCTGTCATAGATCAGGAGGAATTTGAGGAAGAAAAGATTTAGCAAGCGAATAATCAGACATAATAGGACTAAACCAAGTGTATCATACCAGGAGAGTCTTAGAATTAAGTTCCAGTACAATGCTTACTCTATAAACTTGAGTAATGGTGCTTAATATCTTTGCTCATTTGTTGAGTGGAGTTTGAAATATTTTCCACCACTGCTAAGGGAAGTTGAAGAAGATAACAATGGTAAATTGTTGTAAATAACATAAAGGCAAGGACTAAAAGACATACCAAGTATATGTTGTTATTGGGCAGATTCTATTACACAGAGATGGCAAGGGAAAACCACAGTCATTTGCCTACGCATTCATTTCCCCGGTGCAAGTGGGCATTGTTCTATACTCCATGGCAGGATTAGAAATACCACCAGGGAACAAGTACACAAAGTTGTTATGGAAACCAGAATGCTTCAGCTCAGAGTTATTTACAGAGAACTTTCAGGATTATCACATTCAATAAAATCAAATCTGTTTTGCTTCACTCTGTGCCAGTACATCCCAATCACATATCTATTTTGAAGGGTCCTTCGATCAGCTGCACTTGAGTGAATACAGATTCAAGAGTCCCTGGATGGTGGTCACATCACAAAAGTATAATTTATGTGTGGCTTTTCTGCAATACATGTTTGGTGCTTGTTCACACTTGCCCCAACCATTGTCAAGTTTGCTGGCTTCTGTACCATAGGAACAAGGTGGCTGTTGACTGCCATCAGCGGGGAAACATTTCCTCCAGTACAGCTGCTGTCTGTGTTGCCCAGTACTCATACAGCCGGACTTGTCTCTTCACTTTCTCTCAGCTCGACTTTCAAGCTAGATAGTAACAGCTGCCTCTGGCCATCATTTTTGTTCATAATTGTGAATTGGAATTTTTCCAGCTATCCAATTCTTTGAAAAAAGTTGTAGGGTTGGGGTTTTTTGTGTTTGCTTGCTTGCTTTGTTTTATTTGTTGAGAGAATGAGAATTTTCATAGCCTTTGAGGGATCTTTTGGACCATTTGATGTTTCAGTAGATGAGACCGTGGAGGCTGTCAAGCTGATGATAAAGGTATGTACTTTGTCCCTAAGCCACTAAGATGTATACTAATTTTAACTACACAGTGGCTTTAAACTGTACATGAGGTAGAGATACTATTAGGCACATTTTCAGCAAACAGGAAACTAAAACTATTTGAAAATATCATTATTTGCTTACACAACAGTTTGATAAGAAGATAGTAACTATGGAGGGAGGTGTTAGACAGGAAGCAAACTGAGTCAGTAAATTCTCCGGAAAAAGAAAAAAAAGTTTGACATCTCTTTATGAAATGTGTGGGTTGAGCACTGGCCAGAGTATTACTGCAATTCTTCATAAAAGGACAAAAACAGGACATTAACTCTTAACTATGTAAGTAGAGCATGCCAGTTGTCAGATGGCACGTTTGGTGAGCAAGCAACTATAAAGATACAAAGGATTTTGGAGATGGAGAGAACTTTAAACAACTTCTGAGCTACAGCCTCATTTTGCATCCAGTGAAACTGAAGCTCAGAGAGGTTGACCATCTTACCTACGATTACAGAACCAGAATAAGAAATCATTTGGATTCAGTAGCTTTCTTATAAATTTTTAGAAATATTCCCTCTATGGGGCGCCCAGGTGGCTCAGTCGTTAAGCGTCTGCCTTCAGCTTGGGTCATGGTCCCAGGGTCCATGACCTGGGATCGAGCCCCACATCGGGCTCTCTGCTTGGCGGGGAGCCTGCTTCTCCCTCTCCCACTCCCCCTGCTTGTGTTCCCTCTCTCGCTGTGTCTCTCTCTGTCAAATAAATAAAATCTTTGAAAAATAAAAAGAAAGAAATATTCCCTCTACAATGGGAAACTAAGACAAATATTTAGGTCTCAACCACCAGATGGTATTTAACTCGGAGATGATCATTCCCATTTGCTAAGGCTCATTTATTGAATCACAGTTACATGATATTTGGTAGATCACTATGATTACTGAAATCTAGATCTTCTAACACAGACGCTTTTAACCTTTCTATGTCATGAATCCCTTTGGCAGTCTGGTGAAGCCTATGGACTCCTCAGAATGTCTTCAAATGCATACAATGAAATACATACAAAGAAAAGGAAACCAGCATATTGAAATACAATTTTCAAACATTAAAAAACAAATTTGTGATATAGTAACATGTGGGCTTCTTTATTAACACATTATCAAATTTTAGCAATGTATCTAATAACTGTTGTAATTTCAAAGTGGTGATCAGTATAATATTTTGAGATTTCTGCAGCAACTATAATGTGATATGAAAAGATCTGTGATTTCTATTGGTGACAAAGTCATAGGTATAGCCAACTACTGCTTCTTTAGTTTGTTGCCTACATACATAATTGAAAGAAAATCTCAGTTTCATTTAGAGTTAATAAAAACAAAATATAATTTTTTCCCATCTAAACTCTATCCATAAACTTTTGGAGAGGTGTATAGGCTCCAAGTTAAGAACCCTTGTCCCGTACTTCTTCATCTGTCCAAAACAATTTTATAATACTCAGTGAAAAAAAAATGTAAAAGAAAAGAGATTATATTACTGGTCTAATAATGTCAAGATATACTGTTTTTATAATATGCTATTGATTTTTAAGGATTATTTCCACATTCCTCTCTCTGAAGATGAACAAGGCAGGTGGTATCTGGAGCTGATGTATGCTGGAGCAGCCCTAAAGGACAGCTGGAATCTTGCTGATGTTGGAATATCTTTTGGTTCAACTCTCAAATGCTTTGTTAAGGTATGATCAGAATAACAATTGTTCCAGATACCTACCTCATTTTGAATAAAGTTGTGGATAATTCAACAAAAGTCATTTCATAACTTAGGAAGGAGTTTTCTCTTCTCGGCTTCTCCTCTCTTCCATTTGTCTAACTTGTCTTATGTATGATTTCTGCTGTATGGGGAAGTAAGGTATAGAGACTGGATGGAGTTCCCCTTGTTTACTCCTTATGTCCTTTCCCTCCTCTATCCCCCTTGTTGCTGCACCAGTCATCCCAGAACATCCCACAAACCAATATTGGAATGAGGGCAAGGGGTGGATCTGAAATATTGATGTAGAAGGAAAATTCAATCACTTCCTTGGATTCACAATGGATTAAGGGCAGGGGAGTGAGGAGAGGGAAGAAATTCTCAGTAACAATAAGAATGAAAAGGCAATTTCTACATCCAAATCCAGCCAAAGTAGCCATTCATGAATTAGGTGTACATACCTACACCTGGAGATAGCCTTTTCCATTTATAGTGTCCTTACTTAGTGGTATTTAATTGGGGGTCCATGGATGGGCTTTAAGAACTTTACAAAACCCTAAAATTATAAAATATGCAAAATTATGTGCCTAGAGATTTTCTGGGTGGAGGATCCTTAATTTCTGACAATTTTTTTTCTTTTCTTTTTTTTAAACTTCTGACAATTTCTTAAAGAGACAGGTGGCCTAAAGAGTTTAAGAGTTGATCTCTAGGTAACAAATGTTATTCAATACTAGTTCTTTATCCTATATGAAAACATGAGCCACAAGGAACCAAGAAACTAAGTACACATTCTCTGCTAAATGGGGCACTAATTTTCTCATATTTAGCATTAAAAAATTTTTACGATAGCCAAAGCTAACTTTTTTTTGTTTTTGGGGTTTTTTTTACCATTTAATTTATTTCAACCTTTATTAAAACCAAAATTTTTTTGATGTAGTGTTCCATGATTCATTGTTTGCGTATAACACCCAGTGCTTCATTCAATACATGCCCTCTTTAATACCCACCACCAGGCTAACCCATCCCTCCCCCGCTCCCCTCAAGAACCCTCAGTTTGTTTCTCAGAGTCCATAGTCTCTCTTGGTTCATCTCCCCCTCTAATTTCTCCCCCTTCATTTTTCCCTTCCTACTATCTTTTTTTTTTAACATACCATGTATTATTTGTTTCAGAGGTACAGATCTGTGATTCATCAGTCTTACACAATTCACAGCGCTCACCATAGCACATACCCTCTTTCATTGACTAAGTGAGAAGTTTTTGTTTTAAAAAAATCTAAAATACTTACTACTAACTAGTAAAAACAGGACACAGAAAAATTAGCATTGTGTGATCCCATTTAAGTAATCAAAAATAACATATTTGTACATGTGTTTGTAATGTTTTATGAGCATTTATTCATGTATTATTGTTATATTCTTAAAGAATGTTTAATTATCAAAAACGTAAATAAAAACAACTGATTTCTTGTTTCCTCCTTCTGACACTAAGAAAATTATAGTACAATACTCTTTTAGGCAGACTAAATTCCATCTCATTTCTCTTTTTTTCATCTCATTTCTTAAATGTCTTTCCTTATGTCTTTAAATATATATACTATGTTTTTGGTGCTGTATAGGATAAACCCTTTAAAATAGCCTGGAATTTTCCAGCACCAATAATGATGTTCGAGACCTCGTTCCTTACTTACTTGGAGATAGTGGCATAAGTTTATTACTGATATTTGAGCTGCTGGAGGGATGGGATTGAGCCCACAGCTATTGAGGGATGTAGATAATGTGTGTTAAGAGTATGAATAGGATACTATTATTTAACTCAGCACTGGTTTTATTTTCCTTAATTAAAAAATTCTAACTTTTATTTATTTTTGACTAGGTAGTACATTCACATTGATACAAAAGATATAAAAAGTATATACAGTAAAAAGTCTTCCTCTCAACTCTGGCCCCCAGTTTCTCTCCCCAGAGGCAACCTATTTCATAGATTTACTTATGAAAATATTTCATAGGGCACCTGGGTGACTCAGATGGTTAAGCGTCTGCCTTCGGCTCAGACTGAGTCCCGCATTGGGCTCCCTGCTCAGCGGGGAGCCTGCTTCTCCCTCTGCCTCTCTCTCTTGTCTCCTATGAATAAATAAATAAAATCTTTAAAAAAAATAAAATAAAAATATTTCATAAATTCTGCCAATAAAGCGTCATCTATCGTAGTGGTGCAAGTTGTCTTTGCACTGAACTCTAACCTTCCCCTGGAGTTAAACTCCTAATGGAAAAAAATAGAGTATAGAGGTAAAATGGGTTTACTCAAGAGAGGCAGAATATAATTATGCATCATAGGACTGGCCAACACACAGGGTTTAAATAAAAACTCTCAAGTTCCATGGAAATCTTACTGATCTTAATCTTCACCTTCTCCAGTTCTCCAGCTCTTAATCTCCACCTTCTCCAGATTCTCCAGTAGAATCACATTTAGAGAATTTCATATGACTGGATTTGGGAAGAAAAACAGTATCTTGAATCTGAAGGAAGAGAATTACCTGCAAAGACCATAAATACTGGTTTTCATCCCGACTTAATTCCTGTTTAGATTAGATGATAAAAGAGGCCTATTTCAAAAGTCCACACTATTTACTGTGTATGGATAATCATAGCCCAAAGTGGGCTTACAACAACAAAAATACTTCATGAAAATATCCCATGCCTCAGAGAATGCAGTCAGACCAGTTCTAAGCAGTCTAACCTATTTTAGGTAACAAAAGGCTACATTCTAAGTCATGTTGTTGCTTTATTGCATAATTAGATATATACTAATTTAAGTAGTACCTTTCTTCTTAACTATGTTAGTTCTTGCAATTAATTCTACCTACTGAAAATCTTGAAGAGCTTGTCTCTTCATTTATTTTGGTACAACTTAGACATATCAAGATGTAAACCAATGCTTTTGCAAAGTTTAAAAATTTGCCAAATAAGCAATTTTCTTTTTTAAAAAAAATACAAGTAGAGGGGTGCCTGGGTGGCTCAGTCAGTTAAGCATCTGCCTTCAGCTCAGGTCGGTCCTGGGATCAAGCCCCGCATCAGGCTCCCTGCTCAGTGTAGAGTCTGCTGCTCTCTCTCCCCTGTGCCCGCCACCCCCAGCTCGTGCACGTGTGCAAGCTCTTGCTCTCTCTCTCAAGTAAATAAATAAAATCTTTAAAAATATATAAGTACACATTATGTGATGCGAAATAAATCCAAAATATTTGGTTTCTTTATTGTCCTTATATTTTGTGTGAATTACAAGGTTTTACTTGTGTGAAAAGAGGGAAAGACTTTAGATAAATTAAGAGGTGATCTACTAAATACATTTTTTAGATAGTTAATATATTTTCCAGTTTCCCTGTGTATTATACCTTCTCCTTTAATAGTAATGTAGACATATTTGGAAAAGTGAATGGGGGGTGATATGAGAATAGTAGGGAAAGAATATCGCATTAATTTTTCCTTCTCAGGGGAAAAAGTCCTATAGAAACCATAAGAAATATCTTCTATAGGATATACATCCAAGTTCTATTAACTCAGGAATCAATCCTGCCCATTCATTGCTGCTGCAGGGCACTGTGTTCTATAAACCATGGCATGATGCAGTGGAAAGTCCTAGGTTATTGCTGGGCATGCAGAAGTACTATCCCATTTGCCCCCTTTCCTCTAACCAGTGTTACTGTGGAAACTATTGCTTGAGTTTTGTTCACTGTTGGCACCCAGTGCCTAAAATAGTACCTGGCATATAGTAGGCTCTCTATAAAAATGTGATGAATAAATAAGTTGACAAAGGCCTTGAGAGGTAAAGTTTGAAAATTAACAAGAAGGTACATGATTGTTATCAGAAACGTCATAGCAAGGTATTGAGATGCATTTCAGGGTTTGGATTCCCTCCCTTACTGCAGCATCTCTCCACCATTTGTACCCTCAAGACAAGGTGCTCCGGCATCCTTGCCGTTTTTCCTTTCCAGCATCAGGGTTCTTAATTGCAAACAGCAGCAGAAACAAAGCCTGGACAATTTAAGCAGAAAATAAACATATTGAAAGGCTACTGGGTAGTTCACAGTCTTGACAGGAAGACTAGAGAATCGGGTTCAGAGAGTTTGCAGCCAGAAACAATGTCTTCATCATGCCCAGAAGTAGTCCAGGAAGGCCACCCCTGTAGCCACCTCTGAGCCCTCAAAGCCTGCACTGGACACTGCCTCCAGCCCTGCCACCAGACCAGCAATGCATCATCAGATCTGCTACTTCCAGGGACAATGCCCTGTGTCTGCCGCTTCTCTGACTTACTGGTTCCTAATTCAAAGTAGGGCTGGTGGGTAGGCCTGATTGGCAGCACTCTGGCCACATGTCCAGCCCTTGTTGCAAAGGGGGCTAACAAGTAACCCTCTGACAGGTCGTGCCTTCTAAAGTATGAGGTGGGGGGCGCCTGGGTGGCTTAGCCAGTTAAATGTCTGACTCTTAATTTCAGCTTAGGTCATGATCTCAGGGTCATGAGATCAAGCCCTGTATCAGGCTCTGCACTAGGCATGGAGCCTGTTTAGGATTCTCTCTCTCCCTCTTCCTCTGCCCCTCTGCCACCTCTCTCTCATCTCTCCTTCTCTTAATAAATACATACATACATACATAAATAATAAAAATAAAATAAAGTGTGAGGTGGGCTCAGTCTCCCTAACACTCCTGCTGGGTTCCCTGCCTCCTTCTCTCACCATATTTCCACCAACCAAGCAAGGGCTGGGGTTAAAATTTAGTTAATCTTTTCTGGCATCCTTGGAATGTTGTTTTATGGTGAGAGATTGAGTTTACTGTGCTAGTATGTTTTTTTTTTTTTAGATTTTATTTATTTATTTGACAGAGAGAAACACAGCAAGAGAGGGAACACAAGCAGGGGGAGTGGGAGATGGAGAAGCAGGCTTCCCGTGGAGCAGGGAGCCCGATGCGGGGCTCGATCCCAGGACCCTGGGATCATGACCTGAG